GCGATATTGAATGATGGCGACGGTGCGCCGCGTTGTGTGCTTGTTGGCCGCTGCTCTGTGCTGCACGGCCTTGTGCTCGACGGGAGAGGAAGAAGCGGGACAGCCTCTCAACGGCTGCACTGAAGTTGGTGAGAATGATCCCCATAAGTGTGAATGTTAAGGTCATGGTGGCTTAACGAACAGTGTTTCGACAACGGATCGTAAGCGTCAAGAACAGCTAAAAGGCCCAGATGCGGAGGGAGCTGGTGGAGCTGCCGGTCAGTGTCCTTTTGGTGCCACCGACTGCTCTTCTAATGTGGTTCATCAGAAGCCTCTGCAGGATGGTGCCAAGGTGCTCAGGGCGGATCAACATGGCGTGGACTCCCCCGCAGAGGAGCCCAGTGCGTTGGTGAGTGGAGTAGACGGGCAGGAGTGCCGTAACGGAGGGAAGGTGGTAGTGGCGAATGAAGCGGGTAAGAAAGGGTGCGGTGGTGGGAAAGACGACAGGGACGAGGTGGCGCAAAGAGAAAATGAAGGTGGCAGTGGAGAACTAACGCCAACGGGAAGCCTTGGTGAGAAGCCTTTGGTGGAACTGGAGCAGCGAGATGAGCGGGTGTTGAAGGGCTTGACTGGAACACGACGTACGACCGCGGATTCAGTGGGTGGCAGTGCAGGCTCCCTCTCCCGTGAGGGAGAAGGGGAGCAGGCCGGACGAGACTTCTACTCGCCTCGCAGGTTCGAGTGCAAACAACGACGGGGCGGCTAACAGACGTGTCGGGGGATCTCCGTAGCAGTCACTGCCCGCTGCGGCCGTGGCTCAGCAAAACCCGCCAAATGCCGGTGCTGATCCCGAAGCAGAAACTTTCTCATCGGAGGCGGCGGCCAAGCGTGGAGAATGTCGCTCCTATTAAGGCGGATACCGTCACTCTGGGGAGTGGCGCCCCTGATCAACTGCCTGAATCTTCTGCTGCAGAAAAGCGCCCAGAAACGAACACTATTGTCGGGGGGTCTGTTGTAACGGCCGCGAAACCGGATGGGACGATCGTTGTTACCGCTGTCGCTCGTCTTGTGCTTGCGGCGCTTGTCGGTATTTCTGTGCCATGAGCCGTGTGCTTGGAGGACAACAGTACATTCTCTTAACTTTTTAAGTGCCTGGGGCCCTTGTGGCCAACAGAATTCACATGAGACGGTTTTTTTCTTCCTCCGTGGCATCCCCGCTGCGTGCTCGGCGCTGCTCTCTCCACTTCCCAACGGTCGGTGAGATGCAGCTGCCCGCACACATGCACGGGGGTGGCAACGCCGCACCATTTTTCGTTGTCTCATGTCGGTGGACTGAGGGGTGCGCACGGCTGTGCCTCCCTTCGGGACACTATCTTCCTTAACTGTCCTCCGTTGCGTGCTCCACGGTGCAGCACGTTGGGCTCTTCCTGCTGTGCACTGTGTGGCTGCTGCACTCCCCTACTGTCTGCACTTGTGTGTGCGGGCTACATGCTGTGTGTCTCTCCTTGTCTTGCTCAGACTCTGATAAAGCAGGCAATATCAATGATGGCGGTGTGCCATGCGCTGTGTGTGCTGGCGTTCGCGCTGTGCTGCAACACCTTGTGCGTGATGGCTGCTGGTGACGGTGGTGGTGGTGGTGACTCTCAGACAGCCACGGTGGCCGACCTCAGGGCGGCGGTTGCTGAGAAGGCTGCGGATGTGAAGAGGAAGAAGGGTGCGTTTGAGGCGGCGAGGAATTGGCGGTGGGCCGCTGAGGATGCTGCGGCCGCACTAAAGGAGGCACAAGAAGCAGTGGACGACGCTAAGAAGACGATGGGTCCGGCTTTGAAGAACGCTGAAATGACAGCGGGGGCAGCGAACAAACTAAGCACGGCTGCGGCGAGCCTGAAAACCCTTCAGTTACCTGCTGGCGCAGCGAACAGCAGAGCGGAAGACGTAAATGTAAAGACGGCGAAGGCTGTTGTAACTCAATGTGAGGGCATGCTGGTGACCGCCAAAAACACGATGCTGGATGCTGCTGGCCTAATGAAGCAAACCGGCCGCGCGGTGGCGAGGGCAGAGGTGGCGCTGCGGCACGTCAAGTCGGCGAAAACAAACACAACAGGGGCGGAGCAGCCCATCATCGATACAGTGCAGGCCTCAAGGGCGGTGGTGACGAAGGTGCGGGCTGCTGTGGACAAAAGCGTCGTGGAGGTGAGGAACGTATACGATGCGGCGCTGGAGCTGTATAAGGCGCTGAACACAACGCTGGCCGCAGCGCGGGAGGCCTCACAGCTCCTGACGGTCGTTGGAGCTGAAACACAAACCAACAAGGATGAAATACTGAAGAATGTAATAAATAACGCAACGGAGGCTCTGGAGGAGACCAGCCGCGCATCAACAAAAAGTAAAAATGCGCTTGGTAGCATTAAAGCGGCAGGAGACATCTTTGAAAGAGCTATTCAGAACGTGAGAGAAAAGGAGAGTGGTGCCGCAGAGGCACTACAGATGGCAGAGAAGCTGAGAAAGGAAGCAGAGGATGAGCTGGCTCCTGTGCGTGCGGAGTTGCAACAACTTAACGACAAATTAAAGGCTTTGGAGGCGACCACAAAGGTGACGGAGAAGGAACTACCGACGAATGATGATTCTTCTGACGCAGAATCCCCTCCAATCGAAGAGACGTCCGTCACATCAGAGGCACCAGCCTCCACGGCTGAGACATCAGAAGCCCCGGCACTTCCTCCTGTGGCTCCACTCGTGCCCACAGAAAACAATACTGCCACAAGCAACAACAATATGTTGGACAACTTCACTGATAGCAGCGACATCCCCGCGTGGGTGCGTGCACCACTGCTGCTGCTGCTGGCCTGTGTGGCCGTGTGGTGAGACCTGCGTGTGTGTCTGTGTGCGTGGGGCGGTGGTGCTCCGACCGTAATTCTGCTGAGCCCCGAGGACTGCACGCCTGATTGGTAAGATCCTTTTTTTTCGCTTCTTGCTATCCCGTTGTGGGCGTAACGCCGACCCACTTGCCCTCGACGACACGCACTGTGCACTGCACTTTGGGAAGGGTAGGCGTGTTTTCTTTTTTCTTTTCTTTTTTCTTGCTTGGGCTTTGCTTTGCGCGCTGCTGTGCGCCGCTCACTAACTGTCTCTCCTGCTGGGAGATTCGCTGTTCATCTCTCTCTGTGTGTGTGTGGTGCGTCCTTCGCTCCGCCCGTCGTCTCTGTGCCGCGCACCGGGACACACACACACCGGGACATGAGGGCCAGCAGTACGACTGCACACACGTGTGCTGCTGCTGCCTCGGTGTTCCCTCTTTGTTTTGAGCCTTGTGTGCTTGGACTCCAGCGGAGTGTGTGCGCCTCTTCCGCCGTCCAGCTCTCTTTTCTCTAATGGGTTTCTTTTTATCATGGTTGCATTTGTTCATTGTGTGTTAGTATGCCTGAGTTATCTTTCCCGTTCTTCTGCTGTCGTTGCTGCTCTTGGTGCATATTTTTGGAAACTTCGATTGGACTAGTGAGTCGTAATGAGTCTGAAGCTTAATATTCTCGGCCACGAGTTTTCCAACCCGTTCATGAACGCGGCGGGCGTGCTGTGCAGTAGCGAGGAGGACCTGCGCTGCATGACAATGTCGGCTAGTGGCTCGCTGGTGTCGAAGAGCTGCACGACTGCGCCGCGTGCTGGGAACCCGGAGCCGCGCTACCACTGCCTGCCGCTGGGCAGCGTCAACTCGATGGGGCTGCCCAACCTGGGCTTTGACGTCTACCTGCGCTACGCCGCCGAGCTGCACGACTACGGCAGCAAGCCGCTCTTCCTCTCCATGTCTGGTCTCTCGGTGGAAGAGAACGTGGCGATGGTGCAGCGCCTTTCTCCTGTTGCGCGGGAGAAGGGCGTTGTGCTGGAGCTGAATCTCTCCTGCCCGAACGTCCCCGGCAAGCCGCAGGTGGCGTATGACTTCGCAACGATGCGCACATACCTCCAGGAAGTCTCAGCTGCGTACGGCCTGCCGTTCGGCGTCAAGATGCCGCCGTACTTCGATATTGCACACTTCGACATGGCCGCCGCTGTGCTGAACGATT